GAACCGCGGTCCCTGTGCTTTGCCAAGCTTGTTTCAAGTAGGCGCTTTAGACCACTGAGCCATCTCTCCAGCCCCTTTTTTAATTTTTTATTAATTTGTGTGTGTGTGTGTGTGTGTGTCCTCTTCTGAAATTCTTTTTCCCCCTCAGTTTTATTTCTTTATTATTTATCTTTGCAGTACCAAGGATTGAACTCCTGACCTTGCGCTTGCCAGGAAGGTGGTATGCCACAGAGCTATCACCCCAGCCCTTGAAATTCTTTTTCTGATCGTCAAGAACATATTCAGGGGGCTAGGGCTGTAGCTCAGTGGCGTAAGTGCCTGCCTGGCAAGCACAAGGTCCTGAGTTTGATCCCTGGTTAAAAAAAATCAGAGGGCCAAGTTGTGTCCCCATTTCTTTGAGGCAACTCCTCATACTCTATCCAGTGATAGCTGCCCCAACCTCCCTTCTAAGCAGGAGGCTGAAGCAAAAATATCACAAGTTTGAGAGCAGTCTGGGCAATGTGGTAACACCTCATCTCAAAATAGTTTTTACTGCCAGGTGTATTGGCACATGTCTATAATCCCAGCACTCAGGAGGCTGAGACAGGAGGTTTGTGAGACCAGCCTGGGCTACAAAGTAAGCCTAAGGCCAGCCTAAACTGCAAGGGAAGATCCTGTCTCAAAACAGAAAAAAAAAAAAAAAAGTTTCTTCATGGCCTCATGCTTTTTCAGGCAGGCATTGTGCCCCTGAATTATAAGTCCAGCCCTCAAAATGAAAACTTTTTTTTTTTTTTTTTTGGTGGAACCGGGGATTGAACTCAGGCCCTTGCGCTTACCAGGGAAGCACTTATTCCACTGAGCCATCTCCCCGGCCCCTTCAAAATGAAAATTTTTAAAGAGGGCTGGGGATATAGCTCACTGGTAGAGCACACTGTATTCCAGTTCTGCTAAAAGTTAAAAAAAAAAATCCACAAATCACGATGACCACCCCCAGATATTGTGCAACAACTGCTCTATTTGTCCTGAGACTCCTTTTTTTTTTTTTTTTTTTTTTGGAACCAGGAATTGAACTCAGGCCCTTGTGCTTGCGAGGGAAGCACTTATTCCACTGAGCCATCTCCTTGACACTCATTCTGAGTGTGGCTTTTCTAAATCTTTGTCACTTTCCAATCTTATACTTCAATTTTCTTTTTTCATAGAGGAAAATAGAGCAATCCTTGTCTTTAATGTCCCCGAGTTCAGGAAACAAAGCATGGAGCACACTGTGGTCTAGGGCTGGGGTTATTTGGCCTTGTGGCCCTGTTGCAAGATGCACACGCTAGGCTGTGTAGTCTTGGTGCCTGTTTGGTCGCCCGCTAGCAGGTGAGGTAAAGCGCCAGTGGCTTCCTGTCTTCTGTA